GGGGGGGGGACATGGGGTTGTCCCAGAGCACATTCAAGCTAGATAAGCACACTCACACACTGCAGATGCAAGCACTACATGCTAATACAGTGCACATTTACTCTGCACCCACCGGTAGTGAATCTTTACAATAAATAAAAGATGTTTTTGTCTCTCTTAGGAAGACAAACAGACAAGCTGAACCCATGTGAAAGAGAGGCTGGATGTTGACACACACGCTTTTGCTTTTCCCAGATAAACCTTGTTGATCCTGTCATGCAGTGCAAAGATAGCAACGATGCGCCTCTGTCATTATGGCTTGGGGTTTGCACGATCATTTGGTATCACTGGTTTAAAGGGGGGGGGGGTTCATGACTTCTTAGCCCATTTTAAATCAATTAATGACCCCCCTTAAGCCAGGAAATACCACCGTGTAACGCTGGCCTGCAGTGTGCTGGTGGAAGGAAGTAGAGCCGCTGTAGGCGCAGAGCCAAAGCAAACAGATGCACATCAGCTTTCTAATCTAGTCTGCGGTGTGTAGCTCTGAAGGAAGCTAACGTTCAGCGGCGCGGGGTTCACCGGGAGGTGTAGTTGGTAGTTTGCTCCAGTTTGGGGCTGTGTGTCAGGTTGTTGAGGTCGGCTTCAGGGGCCAGTTCGAGCACGGAAAACAAGACTGAGCGTGGGTAGTATTTGACTGAGAGCAAACAGTTGTGAGTGTCGGATGGTGAGAAGGGCGGGGAACTGTCCACGCACGCGACCGTAGCTCACTCAAATACACACACACACACAGTCTGCCGTACGTTAGGGTCCCTTCTAAGCAGCCGTTTCCGTCTGTCACTTGTTACCTTGCGTTTTCTGGTCTCGGCTGAACCGCTCCACACGAAGCACTGATAAATAACCCTCAGGTTCTGCTTCCAGTTGTCCACTTTGAAGCTGTTGACATGAGGGCAGCCGGCGGGACTCATGGTAGTCACAGCATCCGGCTTTACAGTCCTCTTGGGCGATGAAACCTGTTCAAATCCCTCAACGCAGACCCAGTCCAAGCGGGCTGGCTGGTTAGCTCGCCAGGTTCGTTATCCGCTGATTGCTGCGCTCTGGCTAACTGGACATGTCCTGGTTGCACTAACGGAGACACGCGCCGTAGCGAACATCAAGACGAATGTTCCAGTATGACGCTATCGGACGTGAAACAACGTGTATGCATTTGAATCCAGTTTGGCGCTGTATGTGTAGTTCTTCACATTCGCCACATTACATGTTAGCAAGCTGGCTAAAGTTGGTTAGCACTGGAATTTCAACAGTAGCTTACACGGCGAGTGTCGTTAAGACCCACCTCATTCATAACGCTGGGCCAATGAGGGGCGAGTGCTGCGCATGATTGGCGTGTGACAACTTTCTTTTTCCCAGTTTAAGTCCCGCCTCTATGGAGTGGGCGCTGCGTCGTGATTGGTGCAGTTTCCCTGCAAACCACATCCGCCTGTATGAGGACGTTCATTGGCTAAGGCATAAATCAGCTTCATTGTATCAGGCAAGAATGTTACAATGTGACAATCAAGAGTGGATGGAGATTCAGATCCACCTTATAGTACACGTAGAACCAAATGGATGAGATTTTTTTCACAAAGCCATGAAACCCAGAACTATATTCTTAAACAATTTATTATTAACAGATCCACAATCGCAAAGCTCAAGCTCCCAGATGACATGACAGTTTGGTTTCATCTCTTGACTTCACCTCTTGTAATAACAAGCTGTCAAAACGGTTTTCTATACAGTGCTCTAGCGACCTCTAGTGGATCCGACCTAAAAAAAAAGAAAAAAAAAACAAAAACAAAAAACAAAAAAAACAAAAACAGTGCACCAGATTGTGAACGACTCTTCCATTGTGCCGAGTTTGGTCAAGGGCATGTCCAGATGAAGATTTGTACAGATTTGCTATTGATGATATCTACATTCTAACCAAAAGGAGTGAGAGGGAAACGATCATTGCAGTCTTTACAAATAGAATATATCAGATTTATTCCTCGTCAGCCATAGATGTTTCTCGTATGTAATGCCCTCTTGTTACGGCCATCATGCAGCAGAACCAAAACAAACAGTGAGAATATTCACACATATGTTTGGAACAAATAAGTCCAGTTTTTATTATTGTGGTTTCTGTTAATGTAGCAGTGGCGCTCCAACCTGAACATTGATAAATAAAACACTGACAAAATTGTAATCTTTTTTCCTTTTCTGTAAGGATCTTTTGTTATCCTTAAGACACTGTGAAGAAAGAATAACCAAATTTATCATCATTCCACACAATTAGATTTTCCTTGACCAATGTCCTTATGCAATAGAATGTTTGTTTTCCTCTTTAAAAAAAATCCAACTCATCCTGGGAAGAACGTGTTGGGCGGCTGCAGCGTTCTTTCCCTGTCCAAGGCCCCTCAGGAATAACTTGATGTTTTGCTACCAACATCGTCCTCCTGCGATCCCATACTCTGAAAGAAAAAAACAACAACAACAAAGTCACATGTAGAGAATGTTACCGGTTAGACAATAGATCAAACAACTGGTTTAAAAAACGGTCCCTGCTGCACTTCTAAGAATAGCTGCTTTCTCTTGGAACTAACCCAGGGCCTTTTCCAGGAATCACATTTACGACTGAATTATCTGGATAGCTTTCCTGGGAATACCCCACTGGTCCTTTTACACTGGTCCATGTTCCAGATTTGAGGACGTTCCAGATAGAAAAACTATCCACTCAATAAACCTGCTTTCCAGTTTTGATTGTGTTATGTGCAGTGTTTATGCTCTTGTAACACCTAGATACAATACCAATAAGGGCATGTTTTATAAAACTGTGGTTATATTTTTAACATTAGCTACCCCTAGTACTGTTGTATTTAACATTTTAATATTCCATAGGTCATTTATTCTTATTTTTCTTACTTATATCTTATTATTTTTTCTACAATATATAAAGCATCTGAATTAATAAAAGTAAATCTAGCACTGACACACAAGATACATTTACAAGTAAAGATTTGTTGCACTTCCACAAAGCAACATACATTCATGCATATGGGGAAAAAAAATATCCAAATAACAGACATTTATGTATTTGGCTGTGTTAATATATGTTGTCTCACCTTCTGCACAAATTGTGGGTTAACTGTGATTTCTTGATCCATAGACTTTAGTTTCTCATCCAGCTCTATACATTTCAACATCTGAAAGGAAGAAAATGATAGAGCTTCACGTTAAAAGTAGTTAGTGCCGAACAAACTACTGGGATTCACACACAGCATTATGATAAGCCGGCACTGAAACTAGAGTTGGATATCCTCACCTCTTGGTCAATTTTGTGGAGCATTGCTGGGTTGTTGTATTTTTCGGGGTTGTCGTGGAAGCAGACCATGCCATCCTTTTGGTTAATGCTAGCGTAGATCTCACCATCTTCAATCTGCACAGACGCATGAGGAAGAGCATGATGATATTGAAACAGAATATTTCTAGTGCTGCTCAATAGTAAACTGTTGTCTGAATTACATTAAAATAACAAAACTGCTTAATCAGTCAAAGATCTTAAAGTGCTAGGTGAGGCTGTAAATGGTCTACATAAAAAGTAAAGCAGATTTAATTCTGTACATTCTACAACTACTCCTGTTGAGAAACAAATACATATGCAGTATCATATTAGGCATACTTCATGTGCAGTGATTCAAACATTTCAATTGATTTCAAGTGTGTGGATGACATGTTGGACTGGCTTTGCATGTCCAGTCTGTCCGGACCAGCTCACCATGTGTAAGACGTATTTCTCTGCTTCCTGGGGGCCTGACAGCTGAACTCGACTTGCCATGTCTTGCAAAGACAGCGTCAGGAAGGTCTGCAGGAGGCCGATAAAAGAGAAACTGATATTAAAAGAGATAAGGCTGAAAGATCTGCTGGACCTTTTGAGTGCAACGTGGTACAGTTACTTTTCTATGGTTGGACGTTTGTTGGATCTTACACTATTACAATTAAAAGCAGCCAAGAACTTGTAACCAAGGCACATTGTTTATTGTTATGTTCCTCTAACGTCAGCCTGTGATTGATTTGATGGAGAAATATAGGTAGGTAGGTAGGTGGCTATATTTATCTATTTCAGGAGACCAAACAGGTGGATGCGTTATTATTTATTTCACTCAGAACAGTCACACCGGCTCAGAATATTACACCAGCTGACTGTGGCAAAGGCTGTAAGAGCTATGATATAAAGATAGCCAAAATACTACAATACGTCTCCTACCATGTTATGACAGTGTTATGTCACCGTGTTCTAGCTGAAGACAGCAAGCTCTTGTTTCCTTTCTGTTTTGCTCAGCTTTCCAGGCACGATTGTGACAGCTGGCTATCAGATGTCTACATCTGACTTCACTGACCCATGTTTCTGGGATGTTTTCTGTCATTTTGATTACTGTTACTTTCAATGACGTGTGGCAAAGCTGTTGCGGAGGAGGACTGAGTCACATTTCCAGATTAAAAAAAATGTACTCTTCTAACTTGACCAGATAAACTAGACTCATTTAAACTAGTACATATTTCAGAGTTTGTGTAAGCCCACTTCAAACCAATGCTTAATCTTAATACGTTTTTGCTTAATTTTTTATGGCCAAGGTTCTTCCATGAACTATGCATTCCATATACTGAACTTAAATGTAATCTTTAACCTAAGTCAAAACACAGTATTATACAGTATATTTCAACTAGAGCTGCACGGAAAGAAGCCAGGTTTTGAGGAACTTCACTCACTATTTTGTGACACCTGGCTCGGTATAGAAACCCACCTTTGTTAACCTCTGGATGTTCTTCTTGTAGAGGGAGGAGAGGCACTGTTTGACCAGGCCTGTGTTGCTGTCTCGTGCGAAGGTCTCGCTGTGTTTGTTGACCAGGATGCGGAGCTCGGCTGGGTTGTTGGTGGTGTAAACCTGAGCTAACTCGTGGTATGCGTTGCTCAGGGGCTAAGGGTGGCAAAAAGAGACAAAACCAATCACTTAATGGCACAACAGATCTTAAGTTGTATGAGTAGATCTTTACTGGTTTTTACAAAGTGTCCCTTCATTTCATTCAGAGCTGAATGGAAATTGGCAGAAGTTTATAGCAAAAACAAGTTGCCCACTGCATACATTTCTGACAGTCATGGCTGTTAACAGCTAGTCAAAAGGTGTTTCTTTCCCTTATGATTTCATTTCATTAACAATAGCTCTGCATACAAGTACAAACTGGAGAAGCTAGAAACAGCCAGTCTAGGCTGTTTACAGCTAGTTAACTATGCACTTTGGACTCTGTCATAACAGTGACTGATTAACTACAGCAAAACAGACGGGTAATTGATAATGAAAATAAACATATCTGCTGCCCTATTTGACTATAATGCTAGATAAACAGCTATGAATGATGGCACAACCTTTAGGGTGTTTGGGAGTCTATATTTTCAAAGCAACATTATGATCAAAAGGTGCAATTTAAATACCATCTGGCAGGACAGTAGCTCCAATCCTTGTGACCATCGTCATAGATGGAGTTTTGTATGTTCGTATATTAAACAAGTTATAAATGTTACTGCACTGCAATCCTGTTACATTTTGTCTTGCATTATTTAACCAGCTAAAATGAGTGCTTGTTTTCAGTATAAACAAAAGCGACACAGCCAGCTGCCACAGATCAGTGTTTGACTTCTAATATAGGGGATAGGAGGTGGACCCAATACTTAGTATTTGATGCCAACATGTTTTGACAATGTAAAAATGTATATACACTCAGTGCTATAGCTAATGTGGTCTAATACAACAGTCCTGCAGTAAATCCTGCCATGAAGGTTAGAATGTTCAGTTTGTGTTGAAAGGTTTTAGAGAGGTAGTTTTAGGAAGGTGTACCTAATAAACTGAGCTTCTGCAAATTCTGTAAACCACAGGTGGACAGAATGAGCAACATTTCTTGACCGGCTTCATCTGCTTTAAATGATCTAACAGTTATAATGAGCATGAGTTGAAAATCGGGTACATGTCTGCAAATGTAAATGTAACAGCTGTACCGAAAGAGCAGAGCGGTAATACAATTCATTCCATACACGTGATTTATCCTTACCTTGATGAACCTCCCTACTATTTGTGAGGTGTATTTGGGCAGGGGCTGCACTTTGCCATGGAGAATGAGTGACACCAGGATGTATTTCTTATAGGCTTCCAACATGATGTGGCTCACTGCCATGGCTGGAGTGGTTATTGCCTTCAAGAGAAAATGAGAAACACGCAGTCAACTACATACACACCAGAGACAGGGACAGTTTATTGTGGATTCATGTCATACATGAGACAAATTATGAAGAATTAATGGCCCCATCAGAAACCAATTTTTAAAAAGCTTTCTATGCCATTACATGCATGCAAGTACATTTACCTGTTCATAAAAATACAGTGCTCTTTCGAAGTTTTTGAGGCCCGTGTAGATCATGCCACCATAGTAGTAGTAACATAAAAAGTGCTTTGCGTCGTAGGCTCCGTTCTCCTTACAGATGTCCATCATGTCCAACTCCAAGAAGGGCAGGGCGGGCTTGAAGCACTTTGCTAACAAGCACAGCTGCAATGAGACAGGTACATAGTGAGGATGAATAAAAGGGTTCCACTAGAAAGGAACTGTGCCTGTTTGAATTATTTAAACACATTTTACCCATTTTAACGGCGAGGAGGAGATTGGAAACAATGAAGATAACTGGGATGCTGACTACAAATAACAGCTACACAGATCACATTTAGTGGCTACATTCAATGTCGAAGTTGAATCGTGAGGCCATTTAGGAATACAGCCGTGGTGATGATGCAGCAGGGCCAGTGACTCACCTGACACAGGTCTGCATGAACTGAGGTAAGTTGGTTTGTGTTCATCTGCATTTTGTCTATTGCCTGTTTTAGGACGACAACACCCCTCAATGGCTGTCAGAGAAGGGAAAAACACAGTTATTCAGCTGCAGCCTTTCTGAGAGCTCCAAACATGCTGAAAACGGCCCAGGCCTGTACTGCACTTTAAAATGCATTCAAATATTTAGATCAAGAAGGAAAAAGAAAAACATGCTACTCTTGGATGCTGAAACTCAGTGAGGTACTAGTAACAGGATGACTCATTCTTGTTAAAAAATAAGATTCAAATGTACTAATTTCACTATCACCAAGGGTAAACTGATTTTGTAGCAAAGGGCAGGCAACATTAAAAACACCCACTCGCAAGTTACACTGTCAAGACAGTGTTGTAAGTGTCCTTTACAACATCATACACACATAAAGGCGACAAGGACGCTTTACAGAAACGAGAACATCGTGGAACTCTCGGAAACATCACAGAATACACAGAACACTCGTATTTAGGAGGGAAGGAGAACATGTTTATTGTTGGCTCTAGTAGACAACACAGACAGAGAGTCAGTGATTCTGCTGCTTTAGTGCACAGGGAGTGATGAAGCATAGTGGCCACGCTTTGTCAAGTGCTGTTAAGAAGGTGTGTGTGAGTATATTTGAGTGTGCCGACACGGGCAAGTGTCAGTACATGCATACTGTAAGTGAAATTGGGCTGGTACACGTTATTAAGATGAAGTGTTGGTGGGATAAAAGAGTCCATGGCCGTAACTTTCGGAGCTGGTTGTCTACATCACTAAAACAGCGCTCTGTTAATGAACACGCTCTATTTGCCTGTGCAGGTAGTCTTTGATGGAAGCTAGAAGTGTATGTCTCACGAAGCAAAGATGGGCTGTAAATGGCTAAACAAAAAATAAATGAAACCTCATTTACATTCTGTGTTCTCATCTGATATTTAAACTATTCAGTCTTCATTTATAAGCACTGCAGACTACTGCTGCTGTGAGTCATGAAAGAAAACAACTGTTTAAGCATAATAGCATTATAAATTGTATAATCTATAGAGTAGCCACATAAAGATATGCAGCATTATGTTTTATACACTCAATTAGGCTTTTAAAAAAAATGTCCTGAAAGATGTCAAACATCTACGATGGCCCCTGATTCATTTAGAGTTGAATCATACATAGATATTTTGAATTAAAAGCTTTGTGATGATATCTAGTTGGACGTTTGACTGTGTCAGAATCATCAGTCTTACCTGTTTCCGCTCTACAAGGGCGTTTGTCAACTGGTGGCAGAGACCAGCAACTGTGAGAGGAAACAGAAGAGAAGGAAGGTGCTTGAAAACTGGTGACTCGCTTTTACTGGTTAGATAAATGTAAAACACTGCCGGATACATCGACACTTCACTGTCCATTTTTTAAAATCAAGCTCCAAGGTTCAACTGTGCCAAATAACTTCAATAATTTTAAGACATTTGCAGAAAAGGAAGCAGATACTGCTGAAAACTATTTATACATTCAATTACAATTACAGTTGACCACTACAATCTACATTATAGTTGCCATAAAATTGTAACTACAACATGTTCTTACTTTTGGTTGATACTAAAAAAAACATTTTAGAGTTTGTCAGTGGACAGTGGGAGAAGCCGGTGTCTGACATATGGCCACAACTGAGTAAAGCACTTGCACAACAGTTTTTAAGGAACAGAATACTGATTAGTGTAGAAATATATAAAAAAAACAAAATTAATTAAAACAACCATTAGGATACAAAACATGCTACCTAAACATCCAGGAGTGAGAGGTTTGCTTAGTCTGGACTCACAAGTGTCTGTTGCATATCTAATGTGCTCCCCATTGCAGGTACTGATGAAGAGCTGAACTTGGGAGAAGAGCGTCTCAAAGTCAGGGATGTTTGGCATGGAGAACTTCACAAATCTGGAACAAAGGAGTAGAAGGTTGGCAAAACGCTTTCAGTGAAAACAAGGAGACCTTGATACACACGGTCATGCTTAACTGGAAATGACAACTTTTTGACAGGTGTGTCAGCTCATTTCTGTATGCAGAGGGGTGTGCGGTTCTTCCATGTGAAAAACAGTGCACCGGCAAAATGAAAGAAGGGAATTTTTTAACACTTGGCGTTATAATCTGAAAAATAGATATATTTTATACAATAGAAGAAATAGATGACTTTCTTTGCTACAGTGTTAGTTCATAGTTATTAGCTGCACATTCAACAGGTAGCCTTTAGCTGCTTTGTGACTATACCACATGTGTCATGCTTCATGCAACGGGCAGCCTTTAATTATAAAACATAATACAGAGACGTAGGAAATGGCACTTTTTACACAACATGCAAATACTAGCTCACTTGATTTTTTTTACCAATCCGCAACTCACGTTTTTCACCTAACAATGTGCTGGCACCTAAGACGCGTACTCTCTTCCTGTCAACTAGTTGACCTCAAAGGCTCCACCCACCTCTACCCTATTCCTCAGAAAATGTGACATTCAGCGGACGCAACAAATAACAGAATCTCTCGGCCCAGTGGAGGAAAAAGTGGAGCAGAAGCTAGGACAATAATGAAGGCAGGAGGATAGAGGAACACAGGACTGGGACAGAAGTGAACACAAAGGCAAACAGACAACAAAAACAAACAAAAAAACAACAACAGACGACACTACAGACCATGGAAGAGTTCGTGACGGGTGCTGACTACTACACTGGAGGCGGTGAACCTGGGAAGAATGAGGACGGAGCATGCTACTTACAGAACAGCCAGCACGCCCAGGGAGTGCTCCTGGATGTCCAAGGCCCCCAGCACCGTATCCAGGTGGGACAGATTTTTGGCCAGCAGCTCCCCACTCTTGTTGATCAACTCGCACAGCTGAGTCATCTGGCCTGGAGGGGTTAGGGAGACACGAGAACAGAGAGAAAGTAAACCACTTTGGACCTTCTTCAATGCCCCTTTTAGATCTGAGATCATCGCATATCCAAGACAGCTTACGTCGCAATGCCAGATGCAGACCAAATTTAAGAAATCACTGCTTTTAGGCAGGCCCGTTGGTTTGTAAATAAAGTAGGATTTTATACTGGGATTGAAGGTAATCAAATTTCTCATTACATGTTGTGGCAAATAAGAAGTACACATGCACTAACTGGACTGGTTACCAAAACTAAAATTATTATTAGAACCTTGCCCCAATCGTAGTCATTGTAAAACATTGTGAGTTAATAAAATCCACAAAGGAGAAGGGGGCAATACTCTCCTCTCCCCCCCCCCTCCCTCTAAGTATGCTGAGGAATTTTAATCATCAAGTGTTTAAATTAATAATACAGTTTTCATTTTCCTGCCTACGAATCCCAAGTACCTGTTCTTTACAAATGTGGAAAACAAACTGACACAATCATTTATAATCATCGTGCCGTGGCTGAGTATTTCAATATAAATCGCCCGGTTAAGTGTCCTGTCAAGGCCTTGCAACAGAGGTAATGCAGGTTTGATTGACAGATGACTTTGAACCAATAATGCTCGCTAATTCAGTTCGCCAGCCAATCACGTGGGGCCAGGGCGGGACTACCGGTCGGCAATCCCCAGAAATTATTTTCTAGATCAAAAACAAAAAGTAGGATTTAGACATTTTCTTTGACAAGATACCCAGTTCGCGGTTATCCTCGGCGTCCATGTACACTAACGCATCTTCTGGTGATACTTTACAGAACTCTCGCAGCCAAACAAAGTCATTTTAGCGGTGTGTTTACATGATAAAGCAAAAAGAGGGCTCTGACCAGTTTGGCTGCCTAGCTATCGGCAAGGCATTGGATAGCATATGCTAGCTAACTAGCTAATACTTCCCACTCGAATGAGTTTAGCAACCGTACCTTGAGCGGAGAGCTGCCGCACATTGTTCACAAACTGCTCCAAGGCTGAAGCCATTATTTCCTGGGTCCAAAGTGGAGGTAATTTGCACTGTTTTTCATTCAAACGTCAGAAACAACTCCGTCCGGACTAAGACAGGGGGCCACACAGCCGCCACTGATGTGAAGTTATCGCGAGATAATAAGGACGGAGCAGACTGCAACGAGTTTACGAATCGACCATTGGATTCTTAAAGGGCCACACACACGACTTGCTGAGTATTTGTAACATCATTGTCATAATTCCCATAACAGTATTTTTCTTAGTAAATTGTGACTTATTGTTCTTGTCCTATGTGTTGTCTTGTCTTATGTGTGGCACTACAGTTTATTCCAGACTGCAGTGCCAATTCTTCCTTTAAGGGGGAAGAAATACAGGAACTGACGTACATTTACCTGTTGTTTTTTAACAAAGATGTTATAAGAGTAAGAGCTCCTGTCCAACTGAGTTTTAAACACCCACTGTTAATAGACTGGGCACCGACTTTACTTGTATTTTCTTATAAATATAACTATTAAAAACAATCTTGTCTGTAACTGTTGCTTTTTTGCAGATGAAATACAGTACTAAGTTATGATGTTACTATGTTGCTAAGGAAATGGGTAAATTCAGTTTTGGCATCCATCCATTCTCTAAACCTCTTATCATGTTCAGGGTTCAAACAGGAGCTTGCTCTGTGGAGGAGTAGATGCCTAATGCCAACTCCCATGCCACCTTGCTGCCCTTGTTGTTTTGGACTTAGGTCATTTTATACGTAACTGTTGAGAAAATCAATTATATTAATGAGATCTCTAATCTACCTCATTTAAATAAAAGTAGATTATAAAAATGAAATGGAATTTTTAAATGGTGTATTTACATGTTTTGTCTACTTTTAACAAAAAGATAGTCTAATGTTGTCTTGTATAAAAATGTCTCTTTTCCTTCCAGATGAAAGCCTATTATACACTGGCCCATCATCTGTACACACTTAATTTAAATTCTGTAATCTTTAAACTGATTTTGTGTCATTGTTGTACCACCATATGTCTAGCTCCCAACAGCATTACTGTAATTTACTGTATTGTAGTTTTGATTGT